GGAAAGATGTAGACAAATTGGAGAAAATCCAGAGAAGGGCAACAAAAATGATTAAGTCTAGAAAACATGACCTGTGAAGAAACATTGGAAAAATTGGATTTGTTTAGTCTGGAGAAGAGAAGACTGAGAGGGGACATAACGGTTTTCAAGTACATAAAAGGTTGTTGCAAGGATGAGGAAGAAATTGTCCTCTAACCTCTGAGGATAGAACAAGCAGCAATGGGATTAAATTGCAGCAAGGGTGGTTTAGGTTGGACATCTAGGAAAAACTTCCTGTCAGGTTGGTTAAGCACTGGAATACACTGGTTGTGGAATAGGGAGGTTGTGGAATCTCCATCATTGGAGATTTTTAAGAGCAGGTTAGACAAACATGTCAGGGATGTTTTAGATAATACTTAGTTCTGCCATGAGTGCAGGTGATTGGACTAGATGACCTCTTGAGGTCTCTTCCAGTCCTATGATTCTAAATGGCATGTAAAGGAAGTAAGTTACCTCTGCTCTATGTTTCAAATGAGTTGGCTGCCTCATGGTTAGGGATAGGAGTTAATAATCCCTGTCACAATGTGGGTGAAAACCTAAGTGGAAGTATAAATGAAAGAAACTTAACACTCACTACTTGATATTTCCAGATGTGGTGACTAGCAGTTTTCTTCTATGTGCAGGAAGCAGATTTTCCTCAGAGAAAAGGGGAAGATAGTTTGGCCTCTCTGTAACCTATGAAAGCTTTGTTACAGATGAAGGCAAAACTGAAAGTGTGAAGCTTTTTATCTTGCAGCTTTACCAAAACTCTTAGTGAATCCTCTACTCCAGACTTCTGTGTCTGGCTTGTTTGAATAGTATGCCTGACTGCACTTCTCTACTCTTTTAACAGGAAACTTCACTACCTCACTGTCAGCCTGGGAGCAGTGATCAGAAGGGAACTTCCTTTTTCCTCTTTCAGCTTGTTAACTCTTTATGAACCTTTCTATTTTAGAGAGATGGGTCAAAAACACCTCTCTTCAAAAACACTTCTATACACCTTAAAAAAATTTCTCTTCAAGTGACTAACACAGGTGTCTTGGCGGGTTTGCCAAATTTGGAGTAGTAATAGGTTTCCAAGACCTGAGTGAAATGATTTGTTAATGTTTAATTAAAGTCCCTTTAATTAAGGTTATTTTTACCTCATTATTTGATTTGAGAAAAACAATTTTGTTTTTATGGCTTTTAAGATCATAAACAACTAAAACCAATTTATTATATTTCCCTAAAGTACTAAATAATATAAGAATCAGATTGATCTTACAATGTAAACCAAATTAATCAATTCAAGGAGTTAACAGTATGAATTAAAATTAATAAAAAACTGAGACCCAAAATCAAATTATTACATGATCACAATCCCAAAACTAATATAAATACAAATTACTGAATAGTTTATTTAATAATGCTATTACTATGCAGCTAATTTATCAGTTTATGCTTTTCCTTGTAGAAAGAATGGGTTAAGGCTGTAATCTTTAAATATCTAGGAGAATGATCTATGGTAAGATTAGTTTGGAACCTTGGTTAATTGATGCCCAATCATAACTTGTACTATGGGCTTATACGCACATGCTATTATTGGCCCCAGAGGACCTCCCTGGAGATCTCTGAGGGGTTTGATATGCATCCCCTCCAACTTCAGCATGCTCATGTAATCCACATCTTCTCCTCACATGTGGATTCCTGAACCTATGGACCACCCTCTCTGGAGGCAATGTTGAGAATGCCCCTGCCAAGCCGGCTGACCTTTCCACATGGGAAGGGTGATTTTTCACTGTTATCAGGCTTACTATCTGGGCCTGTGTTACTCCAGCTGTATAGTCAGAAGTAATAAGCACAAGGCTATTGTTAATTACTTAAGCAATGTCAGAAGTGTGGAAAACCCTTTACAAAATAGGTAAGATTCCCTACCCTGAGCAGCTTACCAACTGGGCTGAGACTAAATAGAAAGAGCAGGTAATATAAGAGGAGATAAGACAGTGAAATGGTAAGGAAGAGGACTATGATTATGCACTCACATGGCAGTCTAGTGCACGTCTTGAAAGGTTTTCAAAATTTATTGAACAAACAGTAATTATTCAGAGCATAAACCTCTCTGAAGTGAATTTAGAGAAGGGTAGGAAAGAGGCATGGCATTTGAGATCAGGGAAGGATTTCTCAGCCTTCAGGGAAACATGAAAGAAGACATGGGGATAGGTTTGGAAAAAAGGACACAGGGTACTGAAACAAGGGACTTCACTGAGCAAGAGAGGCCTGGGGAGAAGGGGGTAAAAGGAGATGAGGCAAAAAGGAGTTAATATTGAAAGACAAGAAATCCTGAGATATAATCCCAGTTGTACCATTGACTCGCTGTGTGTCCTTGAGAAAGTCTCTATCTCTGCCTCAGTTTCCCCTTTGGTAAAGTGTTGTGAGAATTAATTAGCTAGCAAGTACAGTTTGAATATTCAAGACAGTGTATAAATAAATATATTACAAATATTGTAGTATTTCAAGCAATGAGAGTGTCTGCACAGGGGGTTAATGCAGTTTAACTAACCCACCTTAAATTCACACCTTTAGTTAATTTGGATTAATTTTCCTGTGTCCCCATGTAGACAAGCCCTAAATTAGTGATGCCTGTTGGAACTTTCAAGAGTGGGAATACGCAGAGGCCATTCAATGAACTACTAAATATTGTGTTAAGATGGATCTAGATTATGCATTATTATGTGGAACAAAATAAGATATAAAGAGAGCAGTGATCTCTCTCTTGGAGATCACAATAACTTGAACCTGGCTCATACCCCTCTCAGTCAGCTTTACCTGCCCCTACTGCTATTGGAGCTGCAAAAGCTCTTTTGTTTTTAATACTTGATCAACAGGTTGGTGTTTGTTTCGTTTTGATGGCATCTGTGAATTAACTTACATTAACAGCCAAAAAACATCTGAACAGCAAACTAGATTAGAAAAAAATCCTAAAGTAAAAATCCTTTTTATAACATACATATAATTGTAAACAATGTTATAAGAAATAAAAAGGTAAAAAGCATTCTTCTTACTATGGTAATTCCAGTAATTGTATGGGAAAACAATTTAAAATGTGGAAAATGATGAAAGCAGCAATAAAGAAAAGCTAAAACTATTTCCTCTAAAAGAACAATAACACAGGCCACGTCTAACTAGGTTTGTATACTATGCTTATTGCAGTCCTGAGTGCTTAAATGATACTAGCACATGTTCAAATTTATGTTTCAAATTTATGATGGCTATATTTTGCTCCATCCTAATGATGTGATTTAATTAGGATTTCAAACTTACGAGCACCTTGGTCAGATTTTTTTGATTAAGTTCTGTATTGGTGTCTCATGTTCTCCAAGATTCAACCCTCTAGAGCCCACAATGGGTCAAAACAGCCATTCTTTAACGCTACTCCAGTGAAAGATTGAAGCTTTGACCTTGTACAAATACAATCCCCTAGTCTTTTCTCTTTGAGAATGAAATTTCTCGCTTTTCAGCTCACAATGAGTCCATCAGCCAGCCACTGTCCCAGATAACAGTCAAGTATCCAATTCAGTTCAGTTTCAACAGAATTTAGCAGCAATTTACAAACATAGGAAGCCTAAACAGCATGCCTAAACAGGTACTACAGAAAGCATCGTTAAAGACTCAGAGGTATACAAAAGACCAGCAGGCAAAGCATTTGTGCAAATGAGCTTTCCTCCACTGGACCAAAACACTTGTTTTCTTGTGAATTCTATAATCTCCAGATGTGGATGGCACACACAAATTATGAGACCAGCAGCTGAGTCCAGATTTGCCTGAACTAATTCCCTCATGTTCCTTGAGGACCAAATATGAGGGTCTATTTTTTTAATGGCCACTTTTTAAGAAAAATAATATACTGTATTCATTTATCAAAGGAAGGAATGATATCTAAAGGAATCATGCTTTCGCTTTCACCTGTAGCCCCTCTCCTGTACAACTGACCCTGTATGAAGTTGTTCAAGATAGGGTAAGTCTGCCTTGTGGCTTTTTAAACAGCTTTAGGAAACTTGGCCTGCGTTATGTGTCCATGTGTATCACATCAGACCAAACCCACTTAGACAAACCACCAGAAACAAAGTTTTATTCTGTAAAGAAACATAGAACAGGATTACAGTCCAGCAGCCTTCTCTCTACTTGCTTGCCTTGTGCTTCCAACTTCAGTTAGTGTTGAAACTTCCTGCTGGAAGGACAGAGGGGATTTTGTATAACTCAACCCTCTTACAAATATGTTCTAATTCCCACAGTAACTAAACCCCAACACAAACAAGCCAATGTTCTCATTTTCTGTCATTTAAACTCCTCTCAGGGTACTCTTTAAGCCCTTTTTGGTCCTACCTGTAAAGAAACGTAGAACAGGATAACAGTCCAGCAGCCTCCTCTCTGCTTGCTTGCTTCGCTCTCACAACTTCAGTCAGTACTGAAACTTTCTGCTTGGAGGGCAATGATAGAACCAGGAAGTTCTCCCAACATGTCGCAGCTTGTAGTCCACAACTTGTAGTTCTCAGAGCTGCTGCTGAAGGACACGACCTTTCACCCCCCACTTTTTTTTTTTAAAGAGCCTATTTTCTGGCTCACAGATGCCCATTCCTGGCATCCAGTCTTGTATTAAGGCCCAAATCCAGCAAAGAACTTAAGTCAATTGGACTACTCATGTGCTTAAAATGATGCATATGCTTAACTGTTTTGCTGGATTGCAGTCTAGGGGTCAAATCCCGTTAAAGTAAATGGAAAGACTTTTGTTGACTTTAATAGGCATACTTAGATCTGTTCTTAAGTCCCTGGTGAATGCACAGTGCTGTTCTAATATGGTTTGCTGCTAAATATATATTTACTTATTTCAACTTTTAAGTGCCTCTACTTCACCATAGGCAATTATACTAGTCAAAACAGTAAGTCCTTGAAGACTGGGGCCAAAGAAATGCCTAATATAGTGGTTTGAAACAACTGAACAGAACTTTTGAACAATTTCATATAACTTTTTATTGTTATTTAAACATATATTTAAGGGAGAAAATTGACTCCTGCTGTAACTTCAGATGAGTTAACCAAGAGATTAACATGTCCCAAACAATCTATTTTTGGTATTACAAAATACAGCCACAATTTTACAAACACTGACATATGAGTAGTTCCATTAAGCTCACTGGGACTACTCTCACATGTGTTAAGTTATTCCTGTGCACAAATGTTTGCAAGATAAAGGGCCTATATTTGGACAGATAATGAAATCTGTAGCTGAATGTGGATTACATATTTTTGTTTTTGACCAAAAGGCCTCACCTGTTTAAAACACAGAAGAAATGAATTAAAATATTATAAAAAGGTTTATTAGTAGTATAATATTGTTTAAAATAGAAATTGTGTATAAAGGAAATTCTCTAAATCTCCTCAATATTATTTATATTGCAGTAGCAGTAGGCACTTAAGGATACAAGAAGACAACCTCAGGTTTGAAAAGCTTATGGAATGATTATGATAAATTTTACAAACTGTATTCTAAAAATGTTTTATTTTATGTTTAAAAACTTAACACGCTTGCAGTCACAGAACATGAAATGCAATTATTACAATAAGTGGTCAGGATCAGAGTATTGGATCCTTGGAAGTTTATCTTGATACATGTTCCCTGAGTACAATTAATCTATAGATGAAACAGGACAATTCTTTACTCCAATTAAGTTAGTCATGTTAATCAATAATTCAGATAACAGCTTTATGTCTGAAGAGTTATGCTTTTGACCCAGCAGGGATAGGCTTAGTTATTAACAGTTCATTTGTATGAGCCTGATCATCACCTTTATGCAAAAATGATGCCATCTCTGGAATCTGAGAGAAATAGTTCTTGGCCAGGATATGTTTGTGCTTTATCCTGTGAATAAATACCATTTCATATGCCTGAAAGGTAAGAAAATCCAAATTTTATTAAATGCAATCAAAATTTCTTATCTATATGTTGCTATATATCCTGTATAGTATAAACACTGCACTAGTGAACTACAAACTGTTTAACAAACCAAACCAAAACATTCAAATCCAGACATGTTACTTAATGCAGTAAGATACAGTAGAAGGTAGTCGTCTTTTAAGGCCTCAGTCTGGAAGGTACTGAGTGCCTCCTGTGAAATGATGACTGCCTTACACTCCTATTAAAATCATTCAGCATCTCCCCAGACTAGGTCTCTCTACATTTCCTTATTATCTTTTGAGTAATGTGAATTTATTTTTTATTATTATTATTATTATTATTATTATTTTAAAATTTTGAAAATCAAGAGGAGACTGGCAATGCTTAAACTTGTGTGTTTCTAAGCTAATATGTAAGGGAACTGTACCTTAATTGGAATTGGACTGAAGCTTTTATAAATGCTCATCAGGGCATACCATTTAAAACCATTTTGTAGCATTTTATGCAGCCTTGGTTTTGATCCAGTGTTCTATTTCTAGAAGTTCAATCAATTACCCAACATTCTGCAAGGTAGAAATGTCTACAAAATACAGTACTATATTTAATTTGATACTAGAATAATTAGATTAAATACACAAAGGGCGCTGTGGGTTAATTGAAGCAGCACTGGAATTTCAGTTTTCAGACTGCAGTTCAATCCAGGAGTGTTGTTAATGAAATCACTTTCACAGACCTTACTAAATTTCTGGTGATTAGCAACCCACACAATCATAAACAAATTAACTCTGACATTAAATGCAATGTTACTCTCTTACTCTCCCTACTGTCATCACTAGTAGCATGGATAGCTATTGGAAGGGAAATGTTTAAACTTTTAAAATTGAAATTAAGTAAAAAAAACATGAAAATATTTTGGGTGAGGTTAATTTTCATTTTAAACACAAACTTAAATTTGGGGCCTCAGCTACTGGAGACTGTTCCTTTGCCTAATGACATCAAGATTGGTACAGTCAGGCCAGATATCCACACAATCAGAACTTTTGCCAAACAGAGGGCAAAAGGGATACTGCCAATTATAAAAACACCAATATGCACAAAGGAGTAATTGGGATTCCAGTTGCCTGAGCAGCCTTGTTGATTTAATGCAGGAGTGAGGACTCAAGGAAGGCACTCAGAGATTCCAATTTGAAATTTATTTTATCTTTTAAAAAGTAATGCCACTAAGTAGTGCCATATGCCACTAAGAACTGAACTGGCCACCAAACAGCCACTACATGCCAATGACCTTAGGACACTACCAACATAAACCAGTAGCCTAGAGACAAAAGACTGTAACCCATTTTACCTGATGCATCTAGTTCTTAAGAAATCTCTTGAGCTTTGAAATACTAAATATTCCGCTGTATTAAGTCTAGGTTCCTCAGAGTGGGACCTCTGCCAAACTACTGCATCTTTAGATAGAGGACTTTTTTTTTGACAAAATATGTAACAGTTTTAAGGCAGTAGTTTCAAGGATTTCCTTAACAAATTATTTTAATTTAATTTATCTTTACTAACAGAGAATAGCAGATTTTGTGACATCATCAACTCAGAACAGCACACAAGCTTTTACAGTCTAATTGCAGGTGATCATAAATCAAATAAGTGTCAGTGACACTTAAATGTCATCCTTTTGAAAAAGCAGATGTGGACAAGCTTACTAAGATCTCAACAAAGGGGTTGTCATTATCATAGAATCACAGAATCATAGAATATCAGGGTTGGAAGGGACCTCAGGAGGTCATCTAGTCCAACCCCTTGCTCAAAGCAGGACCAATTCCCAACTAAATCATCCCAGCCAGGGCTTTGTCAAGCCGGGCCTTAAAAACCTCCAAGGAAGGAGATTCCACCACCGCCCTAGGTAACCCATTCCAGTGCTTCACCACCCTCCTAGTGAAACAGTGTTTCCTAATATCCAACCTAGACCTCCCCCACTGCAACTTGAGACCATTGCTCCTTGTTCTGTCATCTGCCACCACTGAGAACAGCAGAGCTCCATCCTCTTTGGAACCCCCCTTCAGGTAGTTGAAAGCATCCCCCCTCATTCTTCTCTTCTGGAGACTAAACAATCCCAGTTCCCTCAGACTCTCCTCATAAATCATGTGCTCCAGCCCCCTAATCATTTTTGTTGCCCTCCGCTGGACTCTTTCCAATTTTTCCACATCCTTCTTGTAGTGTGGGAC